CCCCTCCATGGATTCTTTGAACGTGTTTTCCTGGTAAAGGCACAGGGAGTGGAGAGTGAGTGGAGGTCTCTCCTTTCTGAGAACTGGCCCTGCTAACATAGTTTATAGCTGCCTAGAGACAGTATCAGATGTGTATGTGAATCAGGGAGAGAGGCTGCAAAACGGGAGGGAGGATGGAAGCGAGGGAGAAGAGGAGGGCGGTGAGAGAGGGAGTATGAAGGGAGGAGTTTGCAAAAAATGCCAAGCCATGGTTCACTTCAGCAGGCAGTTAAAGTGAGGCCAGGGAGAGGAGAGAGAGAGAAAGAAGGGAAGCAAAAAACCCTCTCTGGGTTTGTAAAATTACTTCTGCTGCAAGCTGAGAAACCTTTTGCCTCCCTGTGTGGAATGAAACATCTACCACTCTGCGTTGTTCTCAAACTATACAGTATGCATCACATAGCATGAGTCATGTTCGTTCACCAGGTTATCAAATTTCATTCTATCAAACTAGTTTTCACTGCTGAAACAACACCAGAAAACTGAATGAAAATATAACAATACATGAACTGCGATACAGAACCTCTTTCCAGATTTCATGTGTATTTACACAGCGATAATACAAAATCTAACAATCGAGTGTAGGTGTAGCACTCTTGTTCTTTACTGGTACAAAATGTTCATACTAAATATTAGGGATGTGCATGGATGTCTGATTATTCGATGAGTCAAAAAGTCAGCGTTGTTGAATACTGAAAAATAAATTGAATCATTTCTGAAGATTTTTTTATGTCGTACAGAAGGGGAACTAAGGTTTATGATGCTGTTTCTGCTCTGAGACATTTAAGAAGTGGAACTAATTTTACGATGCTTCTGCCCGTGTGCTACATGTGCTACAAACACAGTTTCCGTGAAGAGCAGATGGGAGATATGTTGGCAGATTCAGCAAAAACACAACATGAAGTGTGGCGTTATTTAACCTGAGTGGAAAACAAAGTTGAGTGCTCATTATTCAGGATGAAGTTACAGCCCTTTCCACTGTTCTACCAGCACAATGGGACACCACAAAAATGTGGAGCTTCAGTAGCAAAAAAAGACAAGATGGAGCGACAATGATTTGTTGCTCCTAAATGTTCATGCTTCCTCTTAGTGTTGATGGGGGAGTGGGATTTCAAAGGCTGACAGAGTTTGTTGAACGTCCATACACATCGCCTTCACCAAAAACAATTACCAGGACAACGAAGCAGCTACTGTGAAAAGACTGTAATGAAAGCCAGGAAAGTAGCAATAACAACCGAACTGAGCCATGTGTCACCACTGGCTGGTTGCATAGTTGTTTTTGGTTGGGGCTGACTAATCAAATAATCGACTTAAACTGACTTTTTTATTTGACCTGAAAAAATTATTCTAATGCCAATCCCAATTAACTATGATGTCAACTACTAATCCTAAAAAAGTAAGACTGAGCCATTTGCATTTTCTGGCCAACAACAAATTTGTTTTGCATTTCACCTGTTCCTGCTTAAAACAAATGCACTTAAGCAGCTGGACTGTTGTCGATACTCTGCAGTAACCTGATTTCTAAATGCAAATGAGACATCTGGTTTACATAAGCTGGATAAGGGGGGGGAAGTGGTTAACAGCAACATTTCTGCTAAAGAAACCAGATTTTTTTTTTGGGGTAATGTGTACTCTTAACTGGGTTTCTAATGAGAGGTGTATATGAGTGCATTTGCATGACAAAGACTTCACATAGAGTGCTGCTGTGGTAGCAGCATGAAATGAAGAAAGGAATATTTGATTTACAAGCATTGTTGAGGGCTGGACAGAAATCTGATAACTGCCAAGCTGCATGTAAACATGGGTTTTACAGTGAGCAGGCTGCTGTGGTGCAGACAGATTGTTTCCTTATTTCATTCTTTTTTTAAGGGACGGCAGAGGTGCACACTGGCTCCTTTCTTCTGAAAGCAAATAACCTGCTCTAATAACGTAGTTTAGGCTAAATTTCTTCTTCAGCGGAATGTTAAAGGATGGATGCTGAAATTCACCTTTTATCTTGGTCAGCTTTCCTAACCTCCTGGCCATAGCACTGCCAGTGGATACCAAGTACTAGGACCCCTGCAAATAGTAAAGGGGCCACACTAACATTAGCTCTAATCACACACGACCAGGGGCTCTGTTCCTTTATAGACATGAAGATAATATTTGTAAAATCTGGGCTCTAGCATTTCCAATCTACCCCTCTGTTGGTTGTTGGTAAGCTGAGGTATCCCTACTTCAGCCGTTCCACCCCCCCCCCCCCCGTCTCTCTCTTTCTCTGGGTTTCACTTGGTTCTTCTTTCCAAATACCAGACACAAATGCCTGCTGCCCAACTGGTTTGTCTCACTGTCTGTCAAACCCCGAGGACACTGTTGTACTCCTCACCTGCCTCTGCTGGAGAAAGTAAAGGCCTGTGTTCACGTCCCATTCACTTTCAAGTTGTTATTCTGTTACTGAGAAGGAGAAATCTCATTTAAGAATTCTGGAGACAATTGTGCTGCAGCTCTGATATCAACTGCTTTTCAGGACTTCAGAGAAAAATACTGAGAAATGAATTCCAAGTAATGAATAACACTGAGGCTCAGTGTACTTTGTTGTGCATGATGAATAGCCAATTGGCTCAACCTAAGGTAATTCAGGGTTCACAGCCTACGTGTTCCATGTTGTACTTAGCCCATCTGTTCTCTTTTAAAAAAAAAAAAAAAAAAAAGTACAGGAAAAATGTTTGACAGGAAAATATGGTTTAATACGCAGAATTATACAAAAACCTTTATGCATGTCTTCTGGCCCTATGCACCTTTTTCTCTGGCATCACATACATGGAAGCAATAAATTAACCAGCTGAAGCCAAATGCAAGGGAGTGCAAATGAGAAGAGAATGATGGATATATTGAGACTGTTGAACTTAGGTAACAAATCAAAGTTTTTACTTGAAGTTGAGCTTGCTAAGGTGGACTGATCCATGCCAAGTGTATGTTTGACTTGGATGCTCTTGCAGCTGAAAGCAGACTCTTACCATTATGAATAAATATCAGACGTTTCCCAAAGTCATGGCAGTGATGAGAGGCGTGAAAGAACAGGGCACCTATCTGAGTACAAAATGTGAAATTATACTCCCTGAGCTGTCAAACAAATGTTCATTTGCACAAAATACAAACACACGTATTAAAACAGCAGTCTTTCCCAAAATGGCAGGAAACTAACTGAACTTCTGAGTGTGCAAAAATGCCTGCATGCTTTACCCATACTTGAGTCAATAACAAACAATAACAAATCACAGTTAAGGCAGCAGCAGGCTTTAGTGCAGATGCAGTTTGGATGCCAAAGACACATATTAACGCTGAATGTTACCACAGAGGAGGACAGAATGAATGTCAGACCTGTCCAGGAGAGTCCGCTAAGTAGAAGGATTAGCCCTTTATTATTCAGCAGAGTTTGGTTAGCTGAGCTTTCAGAGATGTAAAGCTTATGACGTGCTGTAAGTATAGATTAAGGGTCAATTCAAGTTTACTGCCAAAGGCAGCTCTATCAAAACTCCCAAGGGGGCTGACCAATGACACCAACAACCAATGGACATTTATTAAAGATAGGTTTTATGTCACATATAATACTCTGCTTTGAAAAACAAGCTGTGTTTTTCCTCACAAAATGCTCAATATTGCCTGTAATCCTTCATCACAAAATGTATGTACACATCTTAAACTCAGACTGAAGGTGAGCACAGAGAAACGCTTGCCCTTCAGCAGATAAATGCACATACATCGTTCTGCACAGTGCAAGTTAAACGGCCAAGTGGAGTAAGAGTAAACAAAGCACATTTTTGAATGGAAGGGGACTTTAATATACATTTTGCAGTAGTTAAACAGTATGTGAAAGGAAAAATTAGCTACAGTTTGTCTGCAGAAATGCTGCTATAAAAAAGAACACCTCCTCAGAAAAGTAAAGACGCAACGATCCAAATCCTTCAAAAGTGGACAGGCAGTATGAAATAACATGGATGGCTGTTATGTCACACGCTCTAAACGGATACTTTCTACATACACCAGGCAGAGGAGTTCATTCAGCAGTAGGCTGCTGTCTCTCTCCTGCTCCACAGACAGACTGAAGAAGCTGTTTGTCCCTTGGGCCATACGACTCTTCAACTCCTCCCCGTGAGGAGGTCTGATCTGACTTTTGGACATGGACATGTGATGTCACTACCCAGATACATAATATTATGATCCCACTTCACTATGACACTATACTAACTGCACTTCACACCGTTTACCATCGTTTCTACCTTTGCACACAATGCTCAGTCCTGCACATACTGGCACTGGACACAGGTAACCCATGCACATTTACTTATTATGTATAGTGTATACCTGGTACACATTACTCGATATGCATATACAGTATATACAGATGCAATATGTTATTTGATATATATTTCCCATACTCTTATTTTTGTACTTATTTCTCTTTTTTTTTTTATATACTTTTCCCCTTGTATTTTATTTTTACACTTCTTTACTTTGGGTGCTGTGATTTTGGTAATCATTGCTGTTGCTACCGGATACCTGAATTTCCCTCGGGATCAATAAAGTATCTATCTCTCTATCTATTTGAGGCATACTGACAAATAACATCTGAAAACACATCAAACTCAGTAGCAATTCTGAAACGAGCCTCTTTTTTAAATACCTTATAAATAAAGCAACAGATTTCTTATATAATTTACAGACAACATCACTTTGTAGCAACAAAATGCTGTTATTTTTGCTGTTTTGAAAACTGAGAGATCAATTAAATTCTGTGGTGGTTGCACACAGACAGCCATAAAATAATGCAACATTAGGATGTAAGGCCACCTTGAAATTTGCAATTCTACGAATGTATCATTAACCTCTGCGATATATTATGAAAACAGTGGACCTACTGTGCTGCTACACAGTGGAGTAGACCTGCATGACAGGCAGTATAAATGTGTTTATAAGGGTCTTACCTTGAGACGAGTCTGGTCTGGGAGCAGCAGGGAGGGGTCGCTGGGACCTGGGTTGACTTGAAGGCAGGGCCATCTTGACTGAGCCTACGTACTCAACGTAAGTCCCTGGGAAGTCACCTCTCTGCTTAGTGCGCTCGTTGTACCCGAGGAGCCAGCCGAGGCGCTTGGGCTGCTCCGCGCAGCCCTCCTGGTAGTTCTCCATGGACAGCAGAGAGGCCTTGCTAACTGTCAGCAGGTCTCCGGGCTGCAGATCCAAGTCCTCTTCCTGGTCCTTAGTAAATGCATACAGGGCACGGTACTGGAAACCTTCTGCCGCCATTTTGTTAGGGAGACAAAAATCAAAATGGCCACTGAATAGAGGATTAGATGTTGCAGCCCACTGCAGTGCCACTGCAACAACAGGCTGCTGCTTCACTAAAATCCTCCACACAAACTACAAAGACTGTTGAGTCACTAAATTCTGGTGATGGTGTTAGTTCTGTGGCATGGGGGGTCAGGGGGCCAAAGGGAGAAGGGGGGGAGTCACCCAAAGCTTAGAAGCATTTCTAAAGTTGATAAGATAGTGTTCTGCTGCTGTTAGGTCAACTTCAGATCGCAGCGGTTTCAAACCTGCCCGGTGTTGGTGGACTGCTGCACTTTCCTCAGCTTGATTCCCCGGCTGAGCCAGATGATGGAGCAAAGGGAGAGCGTTGGCAACATGCTCTTTCAAACAGCAAAACCTGCTGGCTGGGTGCTATTGGAGCAGCCGAGTAAAAGACTTTGCCAGTCGAGGGCCATGTGTCGGTGGCTCTCAATGGTCAAATGCAGTGGTCTGATTGGAGAACAGGTGGTAGAGTGGGAAGGTACTTAATCCTCTTCGGTTTTCTCAGGCTCTCACGTGCCCTGGACAGGGATTTCAATCGACCTGAACGACATAAAAGCCCCCCCCAAAAAACAGAAAAGAGAAAAGAAAAATGTTAAATTAATCCTAAAAATAACAACAAAATTAAACCATGAAAAATAAGAAACAATTGTGATTAAAGGTCGATTCTATTCGATAAATAACCTTAAGAAAAGTGGCCCATATCGATGAGAAACAAAGCTTAATGCGGTGCATGAAAATGGCGAACTGCGGCAGCTCCGTGCATTTGTGCAGTCTTCGGTTAGGACAGAGAGAGATCGAATGATGCTGCTGCGTCATAACTAACAGCAAACTGGGTCCCTGGACTGAAGCCTCCGTTCCCTCCACTCTATATTCACACACACTCAGCCTTAACTGACACACCATAGTGTTTTCACAGGAAAAGTTTCACTGTGCAATAAATGTCCCTCACACTTACACAACAGTATCCGAAGAAATTCAACAAATGGTGAAGAAATGTTTTTGCAGAACAAGCATGCACAGGAAACTAAGACCTGCACCATGGCTGCAGGACAACCAGGATTTTCTGAAACATGCAGAACCCCTTGCAACAGTTCACTCTTCGTAGGAGAGAAAAAAGGCAGCTCTGTGCTGCCTCAGAAATATTTTTGGCTTTTTTCTGTCGATGTACTGAGCCTATTACAGATGAGAAAACTGAGAGGACAAATACCTGAGCAACCACAGTCTGTCAGAAAACCACCAAACACCACTTAAAAGAAAAATGTTGCCATGCATAAATCACACTCCTATTCAATCAGATCACTGTATCTAGTGTATATACAGCAAAAAGTCAACTTGTGGACTCATAATGAATATTTTGTGATGTATCTAGTGTATATACAGCAAAAAGTCCATTTGTGGACTCATAATGAATATTCTGTGATAAAAACGATTGTGTTATTATTATTGTATAACAGCCAAATAAAAAGGCTGGATTTTATCAGTAATGAGATGTTCTACTAAACCAAATTCATCAAATCTATCAAACGCACAATATAAAATTTCTAATTTCAGCGTTGAAAAACACTTGATTGTAATGTCCATAGCGAAATACAAAAAAAACCCTTACTGTTTGAATGGGTCAGTAAAATAAAAATGCTGCAAAGTTTTGATTCAAAAGGGCAAATATACCAATGAGTGGACGAGGGAGAGATTAGGGTTTCCAGATTAAGCATGACATCTGTGTTCTGTGGACCAAGCAAGGACAATGGTGCTGTGAACGTCTCTGGACGGGATGGAAGCGTGTCAGTGACAAGCAAGGTAAAAGAGACAGGAGGGTGGATGGAAGTTTTGCTCTTGTATGCGCAGAGTAGGGAGCTATTCAGAGGAATTTTCCAAAACATTCCAACCCATAATAACTATAGGCCTGGTTTTGCGAGGCCCGATGTTGTGCAATCGTTTTATAAACATCCCTGAATGGACAATGTTTTCAACGATGCATTGCAGATGCATAAATAAAATGAGGTGAACGCATTAAAAAAAAAAACCCTGAAACATCCGATTTTCATCTTTGAATGCCAACATGCATGCTTTCGAACCTTAGTCTAGATTATCCCCCACCCCCACGACATTCAGAAAGCAAATGTACAGTCAGTGTAAACCTTTGTGTGTAAGAATATCATCCTCCTAAAAAAGAGTTAGCGTGACAACAGGATGCAGCAGAGTGCAACACTCACCCCACTTTTGGTTCAGAGAGAAGCCGGACAGGCTCAGCCACACTCTCGGTTCAACATCCTTCGAGTCGACAAGCAAGGTGCCAGGCTAGACACGTGGCACTGGCATACCCAACCACAGCCCGCAATCCTCACACCACCATAACTCCCCCCCCCAACCCGAAACCCCCCTCCCTCCTCTCTCCACCTC